TGCATTACCTGTGCCGGAAATCTGCTGGGCAACCGATTGATGTTCCGATTATAGCTGAGATTGATCTCTACAAGTTTAGCCCTTGGGACCTTCCAGGTTACTTTTTAACATTTGCTAAAGAGTTTCTTTCTTCTGGGTTTTCCCTGCCACTGCTTGATTTTTGTTGGGTTTGTTAAAGTTTGTGCAAAAAAATTGTTCTTGCTGGTATCTGGTGCTCAAGTAATTATAAGCTCAAAAGATAAGTTTCTTTTTAATGGCCATTGGCCAGTGAAAAGTTTGATTTATTTCTAAAAATTATTTGATTGAGCAGGTAAAGCACTCTATGGTGAAAAAGAGTGGTACTTCTTTTCTCCAAGAGATCGAAAGTACCCGAATGGTTCTCGGCCGAACAGGACAGCGGGAGCAGGATACTGGAAGGCCACCGGAGCAGATAAGCCTGTGGGAAAACCAAAGCCACTGGGAATTAAGAAGGGTCTGGTCTTTTATGCTGGAAAACCTCTTAAAGGAGTCAAAACCAATTGGATTATGCATGAATATCGCTTAGCTAATGTGGACAGATCTGCTGGCAAAAGGAACAATCCGAGGGTACGTACTTACTCTTTTACTTTTTTTCGATGGATTCGACTCTACGATGAATAAGATTTAACCATTTTTTGTCCCTTTGAATAGTCGAGTCACTAAACCGCACAATCTTCAATTCAATCATTCTGGTTTTTTTTCTCCTACAGCTTGATGATTGGGTATTGTGTCGACTATACAACAAGAAAGGTACTATTGAAAAGCATTACAGTGTTGATCAGAAGACACTGCAGTTTTCAGACAGCGAAGAACAAAAGCCGAAAATAGGCATATGCCCATATAATGGAATGGTAAACCAGATGGTGCCATTGGTTCAAGAATCACAGTCGATGGCATTACGAAACATGAGTGATTGTCTGCATTTGGACGCACCTGAGTCAATACCCAAGTTGCATACTGATTCAAGTAGTTCTGAGAACGTGTTATCACCGGAGTTCACGCGTGATAAGCAGGTTGAAAGTACACTGAAATGGAGCGATTTCGAGAAATCCCT